CGAAGCTCTTGATTTACCGGTCGATGTACGTTCCTACCCTCACCTATGGTCACTTTGGGTAGTGCAATTCAATTCAAGTTTATTTATATAGGACCAAATCACGACAAGAGTTGTTTCAAGGCACTTCATATAATAAAACATTCCAATACAGGTCAGTTCATTAAGTCAATCAGAAAAAAGTTTCCTATATAAGGAACCCAGCAAATTGCATCAAGCCCTTGAATGATGTTAGTGACTTTACAGCAATCCTCATACTAAGCAAGCAGGTAGTGACCGAAAGAACGAGATCACGGACACAAGCGGCCGAAATGAGTTTTCTCTGCAGAGTGGCTGGGCTCTCCCTTAAGAGATAGGGTGAGAAGCTCAGTCATCCAGGAGGGGCTTCGAGTAGATTCACTGTCCTCCACATCGAGAGGAGCCAGTTGAGATGGCTCGGGCATCTGGTCAGGATGCCTTCTGGACGCCTCCCTGGTGAGGTTTTCCGGGCACGTCCAACCAGGAGGAGACCTAAGGGTAGACCCAGGACACGGTGGAGGGACTATGTCTCTCACCTGGCCAGGGATCGCCTTGGTATTCCCCCGGAGGAGCTGGCCCAAGTGGCTGGGGAGAGGGAAGTCTGGGCCTCTCGACGTAGGCTACTGCCCCCGTGACCCGACTCCGGATAACCGGATGAAAATGGATGGATGGATAGAACTTAAGGAAAGAAGAAAACACGATGCAGCTGATGACGTAAGGTTATCATTCTATTCTTGGTTTTACTTTTGCATTTAAACCATTTTGCGATAGATAGATAGATAGATAGATAGATAGATAGATAGATAGATAGATAGATAGATAGATAGATAGATAGATAGATAGATAGATAGATAGATAGATAGATAGATAGATAGATAGATAGATAGATAGATAGATAGATAGATAGATAGATAGATAGATGATAGATAGATAGATAGATAGATAGATAGATAGATAGATGATAGATAGATAGATAGATGATAGATAGATGATAGATAGATAGATGATAGATAGATAGATAGATAGATAGATAGATAGATAGATAGATAGATAGATGATAGATAGATGATAGATAGATGATAGATAGATAGATAGATAGATAGATAGATAGATAGATAGATAGATAGATAGATAGATAGATAGATAGATAGATAGATAGATAGATAGATAGATAGATAGATGATAGATAGATGATAGATGATAGATGATAGATAGATAGATAGATAGATAGATAGATGATAGATAGATAGATAGATAGATAGATGATAGATAGATAGATAGATGATAGATAGATGATAGATAGATAGATGATAGATAGATAGATAGATAGATAGATAGATAGATAGATAGATAGATAGATAGATAGATAGATAGATAGATAGATAGATAGATAGATAGATAGATAGATAGATAGATAGATAGATAGATAGATAATAGATGATAGATAGATAGATAGATAGATAGATAGATAGATAGATAGATAGATAGATAGATAGATAGATAGATAGATAGATAGATAGATAGATAGATAGATAGATAGATAGATAGATAGATAGATAGATAGATAGATAGATAGATGATAGATAGATAGATAGATAGATAGATAGATAGATAGATAGATAGATAGATAGATGATAGATAGATAGATAGATAGATAGATAGATAGATGATAGATAGATAGATAGATAAAGTGCTTTATTTGAGTAATATCATAGTTAAATGTCCTGTGTTGTTTTGGATTTTATCCAGGAAATTAAGAATTTGGATTCCAAATCAATGGCTTTTCAAGATATTTTCTTTCCTCCATCATCTACTAACCATCTGAACCAATTGAGTTTATTCATGTTGCACCAATGTAAGGAAATCAAAGACATATTTGATGAATAAAAAGAAGCCTTTCCTTAAGATGGACAAAAATATTGAATTGATGATGCTGATTGCATTAAAGCAGAAATCCAGTTTTCCGCTTTTCAGGAATTATGCATTATTTTTTTACAAATCCATAAAAGTGTCAGTCTGACCCTCCACTGAGATATAATGCATGGTAATTTTGTTGCTAAACCCACCCCTGCCCTATAGACACCCAAGCAATTTGAAATGAGCACTGCTCGGCATTATCCAATAGCATTAGACATCTGCTTACGTACAGATGTTAGTCATAGAGCATGTACGTTTGTGGGAGCCATAGATTGAATGTCGATGTCAAGCTATTTTGCTGACGTGCTTTGTCCGTGGCGGGGGGTGGGTGGGTGGTACCGTTTTGCTGCTGTGCTGTTCCGTTGGGGATGGCCACGGGAACGCGCAGCGCTCAGCCGCTCACTGATGCTACTACGAGTGACGACGTTGCTAATTTTAAATATATCCGTAATGTTGACACATTTCTTATCTGTGTGCTTCCTGAAAAAGCCATGTCTTTGGGCAGGTAAATAAAAGAAATGACGGTTTTTAACAGGTTTCATCTGAACACGTTTAAGATGAATGTTTTAAAGTCAGTGTGTCAGGATTATTGTCTCTGCTCCCCGGTTCCTAATAACGGGTCACATTCCTGCTTTTTAACCCAACAACATAACAGTTGAAGCCCATCTAAATTAAATGTTTATGAGCATCTCTGCTCATGTTAAAGAGCATAACTGGGTTATTAAAAATAATTCTGTAGGCTGGTGAAAACTCTACAATGGAAAAACACGACTACATTTAAGAGGATGACTTTTCCACAATACACATTTAAAGAAGATGGAGGTCTGATAACACAAATAATAAATTAAACAGACACATTTTTTTTCTGTATAAATTTTGTGTAGAAAACTCTGTATTCTCCCTAAGAGTCCATTCTGTTAAGGAAAGCAAATCATACATTTCTTTAGTCAAAATCTACAGAATGATGCACATATCTGCATCAATAAATTATTTATATTATTGTGATTATCAGTAAAGTAAAAAAAAGATATATCAGCCTGGGGATTATTGTTTTACAAAATCTGAGGTAGCTGAGATTTTGTCCCATAGCCATAAAATAAATGATGCTGGTATGAAACTCACTCCAGTAGCTCAGAGTAAATGTCTGATCTATAAATTCATTTGTTACAGAAAAAAACTTTATTTAATTGTGAAATTCAAAACAAATATCTGTCGACTAAAACCTTTTTGAATTTTAGTCAACTAAAACTGACTAAGACTAAAATGCATTTTCGTCATCAAGACTAACCCCAAAATTCCACTACCTCCGCTCCGCTCCGGCACGAACTCCGCAGCAAAATTGGTCCCGTTGTAGTCAATTAGAGCTGTTCTACTACTGCAGCCGCCGCCCGTCGTTCCACCATCCGGCAAAGATAGGATTGATTCTATTTTTGCCGGACGCCGGAGCACCTCCGCAGTCAATGGACAGAAATCACAACTGCCCAACAGGAAAGGGAGCAAGCACAGCTTCCGTTATTTCACAATAAATCGATAAACAAACTACGTTTTTTGTTTCATATGCACAGGTTTAACAACTTTTAACAACTATCAATGGCGGCTGAACTTTAAATGCAGTTTCCACTATCAAAGTAGTCGCCCTTTGTTGATCCAAACACTGCTGATCTCTCAACACAAATGATGGGCAGATTAAACAGTTCATTTCGATGCTTCTCCCACACAACGGGTGTTTGGATCTAACTTCCGCGTTTATTGCTCGGACTGTATCGCAAGATCTTGAAAATCCTGCGCATGCTTGTTTGCCCACCTCAGGTCTCCACACCGGAGCGGAGCCGTTGTAGAGTGGGTACCAGTAAAAATTCAGTTCGGAAGCGAGCGGCTGTGGAAGGCGGGGGCGGAGCGGAGGTAGTGGAATTTTGGGGTAAGACTAAGATGCTTGCCAAAAACAACACTGCTTCTAATATGGCGTCCCCCATGGATGCTAGACCTGTGCCCTTTGTACTTTAGACCCGATTTATATGGTTATGAAGATGCCAATATTTTTCAGCTACTGGACATCATTCTATTCATTTTCAACAACATTTCAATGGATATTTCCAGAGACTGAAAGGTAAAATTACACACTGTTACTTTAAAGACTACCATTAACGGTCTACTAAGTAAAACACCAAAATAAAAGAAAGAGGTATATAATCAAATTGTAATTTACACATAATTACTTCCCATCGATAGACTCAAGGTGTTTTTATTGCAACGCTTATTTTAAATAATTTGGAAATTATGTGTCAGGTAAATTTAGAGGCAACTCCATTGAAATTTGAGAAAAAAAAACCTTTCCAATACCAACAAAATGTCTAGAAGTTAATGAAGTCTAAGATGAAACATGTTACTCCCCATGTGGACACCCATCCATTGGTGCTTTTAAAAAAAAGAAAGCAGCAAAAATATGAAGAGAGAGCTCGGAAAACTTCTCAAGATGCTTTGCATTAGTATTTACGTCACCTGTATTTCAGCTCCCACATACTGTTCACCAAAAAGAAAAGAATCAAGCATTGAATATAAAATTTTACCCTCCAAAAACATGTATACTGGAGAAATGATCTGTCAGAGAAAGACAGTTAGGAAAACTGCAAAGAAATAACTCCTCAGTAGGAGTCTTCAGCGTTGTTTAGTATTAGTGTCTGAGTGGCGTTTGTAAAATAAATATTTTTGGTTGGGACAGAAGTGAGAGCTTTAGCTGAATGCTGAACGAGAGCCGCAAGGTCGTATTCTCATTCTCAGCGCGCTCCGGCGGAGATCATAGACACGCAGCAACGGTTCATGCTGCATATATGGATCTCTCATTTCATTAATCATATACTGAATAATTCACATCACTCAAAATTCCTAATGCAACCGACTCTATTACCCCTCACGGTGAAACCTATTAGCCAAAGAGGCTCAGCATATATTAACCAGCATAATTTGTTGGCTGGCTCTTGGTGACACAGCCGTGGAGGTCATAATGCTGTCGGTTACGTTCTTTTCTGTGTAAAAAACAATAAACCCTGAATGCAGCTATGTGGAACTACCTTTTTCACAATAGGTTCCAGTAAAATGGAGCGGGCAGTGACAGGAAGGTACGGTCCTGCCAAGCAGCTGCCACTGATGACAGGTTCCTCCGTTACGACAAAGATCCTCGTGGCAGACTTGAGGCTCATGAGCGGGATGACGTGGAGATGCTGCTGCAGTCATGTCCGTTGTATCAGAGGCCGATGACGGAGTTATCAGGCCAGCTGTGGTGGTCTCTACGGTATCTAAAGGATATCTAAACGACAAAAAAAAACAGATGATTTAATGAGCTTGCACCATAAAATCTTATATTTCCTGTGTTTAAGGGCATATATTTCAATGTGTGAAGTTTTCACCAATAAAAAAAAACTCTAAAAAGTACAGCTTATTGTTGTTTAAAGAGCAAGTCACCCCCAAATCAACTATTTTTTTCTGATAAACTATATAAATGCATGTCTAATCGTGCTGCAGACACGTGTAGTCAATAGTTTAGCACTTAAGTGCATTTTAGTTAAAATTTAAAATTTCTGCCTGAAACTGGCAGTGTTGTGCCGTTGTCAGGTAAAAACTCTTGACTGCATTTGAATTTAAATCTGCCACCGCTATTGGCTAAGAGGTATGCTATGATGTAAACTGGTACATTATGATGTCACAATGTCATGAGTGTGTGTGTATTTGTTAGTGGCTCCACCCTCTCGGTCTGCTAGGCAACAGCATTTGTTGCATTTTTCAAACATGAAGTGGGAGTGAAGTACGCTTCTTGTAAGAGGTGACTTGCTCTTTAAGCAACTAGAAATCAGATTAATATTTTACTGGACAAATGCATGTCTCTAGTTGAATAAAATAATTACAATTTTGTCTATTTTCCACTGAAAGTGGGACTGAACTGAGAAGATTAATTGCTTCTCTCACAGGATTATGTGGATAAACAACTTTTTATTAAAGGTGTGGTTGACAAAAAAATTAATTTTTAATGATTATTTCTGATTATAATCTGTCACTCGGAGTTTTTCGAGCAGGCTGAACATGAAAACAGTCTTGTGCTACTCACATATCTATGTCACACTGTGAATTTGCATTCATGCCTCGCCCATCTTGGCTCGTGCCCACCCACAGGAAGGCTTTAAAAAAAACGTTTTTTGCAGCACGGAGAGAGAGCGAAGAGTATCTTGGTGATAGTGAATTTGCAACATGGCTGAACGTGTTCTGGTAACCAAGAAGCGAGGTGTATGCAAATCATTAGTAATAATGAGTAATCCAGCAGTGTTCAGCTCACCTCTGCACCAGCAAATTTCTGCATCTCAGAACAGGAGCACCATAGCTTTCTTGACTCATAGGACATTGTTTTACACCAAAGAACACTGCAAATGTACTGAATAAACAAGTGAACCACACCTTTAAAAGGCATTTATACTTTACTGAATTTGACAGTATTCTCCCTATAATATTCTGCTAGTGTTTTAGACACTAGTTTTTAATTTCAGTTGACTCTTTCTTGCTCATGTTTTTTGTTTAATGTACATCATTTATTCCTTTGTTATTCTTTATTTTGTTATTGTTTTTTGTAGGGATGTCCCGATCAGGTTTTTTTTGCCCACGAGTCCGAGGCCAAGTCATTTGATTTTGAGAATCTGCCGAATCCCGAGTCCCGATCCGATACTTTCGATACATAAAAAATGAGAAAAGGAAGAAACAGTTCCAGAGTGTTCCTTATTTTTTATTCAATTACCTTTTTATTTTCATTTTTAACAACAGATCACTTCTGTGAGGTAGCTTGAACAATCAAGTAGTAAATAACAAATTCTTCACTTTTGGACTTTATTGCAAATATAAAAAGTCTAATATAAAAACAGATAGCACTTCAATACCTGGCAGGGGTCTATTTTGCCTCGGCCCCCAAAATGCTTAGATACTCCCTGGGCATGGGACGGAGTTTTGAAGATGATCTGAATTGTATCAACTATATAAATACTACATGCTGATAAATTATTGCTTTATACAGGTACAAACGGATAGTGGGATAAATCTACCTACATTTTATCTTTGAAAACTTTGTTTTGTTTTCTTTGTTTTAATTTTCCCATCTTCCTGTTCCTGTCTGCCTCTGATCTTCCTGCATCTCCCAGTCCTCCAGAAAAACTCCTGCCTGCTTCCTTCTTTTTCACCTCACAAGTTACTTTTTAACTAGCAGATCAAATTGATCTATTGACCGCAAAAAAGCGAAGTGTGTGCTGCGCTGCCCGGCTGTGCCAGTGACGAGCGCTGCAGCGCGAGCGCGTCCACACGTCATGCTCAAATACGGACAGAACCACCAGAGAGGAAATGAACGGACACGAATGACTGTGTGTTAATTATATATTTTTTGGTGGCGCCACTTAGAAACTTAGAAATTGTTACTGTGGCCGTGTACAGAACGCAGCTGGAGTTCATGAATAATCAGCGGTCTGCCTGCATCTCTACCCAAAAGTATCCCCGCTACTCTGAGTCCATATAAATAATATAATATAGGTAGAAACTGGATTTCATTTCTGCTCCTTCTGGGTGTGTAAGTTAAGGGCATCAGGGAAGCCTGACAACCTTTAAGGAGAACCAAGTTGCTCTCCTGTAATTTGAACCCAGTATCCGAGTCCGGATCGGGGCTTGGATCTGGAAGTAAAGCCCGAGTCACGATCAGTCTGAAACCATGAGATCGGGGCTGATTTCCGATCGTGTGATCGGATCGGGACATCCTTAGTTTTTAGCTCATGTTGTGAAAGTAATTGCTGCTGTGACACCAACATTTACCCACTGACGAACAATAAAGGTATTTTCTATACTGTTCTACTCTATATTTTTTTATTTGACTGTATGATACGTTTGATTGTAAAAGATTCAACTGAATTACATTTTAATTAGATTGAATGCTTTTGGACTTGTGAAATAGTGTCTAAAGCTAATTTATTATGTCAATTGTTTCCATTTTCATGAAAAGAAACATGATCCATCTATCCATGGATTCTCTTCAACCCTCCATCCATCCATCCATCCATCCATCCATCCATCCATCCATCCATCCATCCATCCATCCATCCATCCATCCATCCATCCATCCATCCATCCATCCATCCATCCATCCATCCATCCATCCATCCATCCATCCATCCATCCATCCATCCATCCATCCATCCATCCATCCATCCATCCATCCATCCATCCATCCATCCATCCATCCATCCATCCATCCATCCATCCATCCATCCATCCATCCATCCATCCATCCATCCATCCATCCATCCATCCATCCATCCATCCATCCATCCATCCATCCATCCATCCATCCATCCATCCATCCATCCATCCATCCATCCATCCATCCATCCATCCATCCATCCATCCATCCATCCATCCATCCATCCATCCATCCATCCATCCATCCATCCATCCATCCATCCATCCATCCATCCATCCATCCATCCATCCATCCATCCATCCATCCATCCATCCATCCATCCATCCATCCATCCATCCATCCATCCATCCATCCATCCATCCATCCATCCATCCATCCATCCATCCATCCATCCATCCATCAAATTACTCAATTTATGCTGCCTTTATTAACCTCCCTAAATTATTGAAGTTAACTTTTTGAAATCTTTAAAGAGGTCATTTACTCATATTTTTAATACTTTGCAGTGACGGCAGGATTTGGAGTCCTTTTTCCTGATATTTGGACATCTCACCTCTGATTGGCTAACAGGAACACAACTCTACCAAAGACTCTGCTCGAATGCTCCACTCCGAGAGGTGCTGCTGGTGGCTCCTAGAGCTGGGCTACAGACGAGAGGGGATAGGGCGTTCTCCACAGCAGGACCAAAACTGTGGAATGCACCTCCCCCATCTGTAAGGCTCTCTCCATCAGTAGCAGTTTTTAAAACAAGGTTGAACACCCACTTCTATGGTTTGGCTTTTAAATCTCTGAGTTAGATGTTGTTGATCTTTTACATGATTTAACTCTGCTTTTACTTGTTGGTTTTAACTGTCTTTGGTGATTTTATCAGTTTGAATTTGTTACTGTGCTGCACTTTGGTGGCATGCCTGTAAGGGGCTCTATAAATAAAGATGGTCATGATGTTTGCTCGGCGCTGAAAAATGTATTTTCAGTGAAGGACCTTTTAACAACCAGTCTTGAACATCTGATTTATCATTGACATTTTATCATTTTAGATTGAAAATCATAATTTTTTTTTACTATACTTGCACCACATACACTCATCACAGCTTGACATTAGCAAATGCAATCATAGCTGTCAAAAAATGCTTCAGGAAAACACAGAAAAGTGGAACTACAATAAGCGATAAAAAATGATGTAACAGCTTCTGATATGTATTGAATAAAATGAGTGTATATTTACTCTGCATTTGAATATAGTTCCATTTTTTCACTGTGTCACTTCCCAAAAACAAAACAAAAAACCCCACACCTGTTAAATAAATTCCCCACTACATAAAATCTCCTGCAACTAAAGTGTTGGAGCTGTCATCTTGTATTTGTGATCATCATGCCTAATTTCATTAAGATGTCAGAAAATCGTGGCAGCTTCTGAAAGAAGGCATAACATGACTATAAATGACTAAACTAGTTGCCTTTTTGCCTTTTAGCCAAACTGGTGTCGCAGATTCCAGTGAAAATAGTTTTTATTTAAAAAGTGAAATAGGACGAAGCTATTCAAAAAGTCGACATGTTTTTGACAACAATCCCAGAAACAGAAATTAAAGGTTTAGTATGATTTTTTGTAAGTAAATTGTTAGATTTTTAAATATAACATTCAGTTTTTGCTTGCTGTTTATTGCATGGAGGCTGGGAGGAAAATACAAACTACTTTAATGCAAAAAAATATATAATAAATGAGTGTTTAGTTGAACATAAATATGATAATTTTAAAGCTGATTTTATTCTGTAAGAACAAAGAACATTACCTGCATCTATTGATGTTGCTGCCAGCAATGGCATCAGAGATGTAAAAGCTTCTCAGCTGGTTAATATGAATTACTTCAATGCAGCCAGAATAATTGTAGAACGGCATTGATTTCTGATGGAAAAAACAAAATAAACATACACAAAAAAAAGAAAAGAAACAGAAAAACACACAGATAGAAAAGCACAAACAGATAAGCTTTGATTAGTTACATTCATCAAACTAATTGCAATTAAAAAACCTGCAATGTTAGTGTTGAGTTAAAACATTCAGCGTTTGTAAAAGTTACCGGATTGAGGAGATACTGTTGAGGCAAACCACCTGCGAAGACATGGTTTGTTCTTTGAGTCGTGTGGCCCAACCAGTAATTACTGGCTGTGCTTTTAATTTTCTCATAGCCAGAAAGCATCAGTTCTGCTTCACAAGGGGTCAGGTGTTGTCTAGGAAACAACAACAATAACGAAAAGATATGAAGATGTCAGTTAAAATGTAAAGCAAGAAAAAAAATACAAGACAGATATATAAAGTTGGTTTTCATTAGCTGAACTAAACTGTAGTTCTAACAAGTTCATGAAGGTTTTTGAGCAAAAATCCTTCTCACATAATTTCAGCAGTTTTATTCTTGACAGTTTCAGTACCATCCAGAATGAGTTGTTTCAGGGCTCTTTCACTTTAAGAAAACAAGCTGGAGCAGGCCATGCCCACCCATCCACTACTCAGGCTACTATAAGCTGAGAAGCTCCGGTAACCAGGAGGGGCTCAGAGTAGAGCTGTTGCTTCTCCAGCAGCAGCTTTTTACTGCTCGTGAGAGGTGGCTCTGTCCTTTATTCTCCAGTCGTGATGGCACAAATGGGGACTTTTTGAAATGGTTTGTTTTAGGCACATAGTTCATAAAACCAAACAGTAACAGAAAAGTGATTAAGAGACTTTTTTTTTTAAAGTTCACAATGTTTATATCGGCCGTGGAGTCCAACACGGCAGCATAAAAGGATGCAAACTGTGAGTTTTGTATATGTGCCTTTCAAACTTTGAGATGAGCTTCAAGAGAAACCATGAATGTCTTCCTGCAGATTTAATGGAAATTATGCTTTAAACTTCAATAATGATCATAACTGAAATGGTTGGATATCGTTTAGTTTCCTCTGCTAAAATGTGCACTATCCACCATCCTTTTCCAGGGCATTACCCCTGACCTCTATGTTGTTTTCTCCAAGTAGCCTGTGAGCCTCCTCTCTGCTGTTCTTGACCCACCCTATAGTCATAGCTTTCGTAACCAGTTCTCTCTGAAACAACAGGGGAGCACAGATAATTACCTAAGTGCAGATTCTGGACTAACCATCTGTAGCTTGAGGCTTCTCGGGCCACAGCCGTAGAGCCCCCTCTCTAGTGCCTTCTGATAGCTCTTGTTCCCTGAATAGAAGTTAGAAGGTCTGTGAAGCAATCTAGTCTGATTTGTTAAGCCGGGGTTGCAGGATGTTGAATATGCTGGCTAAACACTCGGGGCACTTACTCCAACCAGCGTAAGTCCGTCCTCCAGAGCCAGCATGGAGAAGCGGTTAATTTAGAAGCAGTCTGCCAGAGCGGCCTGGCCGGCAGCCAGAGGGCACTGTGCTCACTGTCCTTGAGAAGTCAGCCCCACCGGGTCTCTATTTAACATATTGAAAAGCGTCTTTGACGGGAAGATATATTAAAAGTCTATAATGAGTTAGGCGGTGGCGTTGAGCATGGCTGTGGTGCTGTAGCTCTGGGTCAAATCAGACAAAGATGGACGGACTCAGCCGTCAGACAATTACAAAGAATTTGCTTTGTGACACCAGAAACCATTTTTCCATACTACCAACCCCCTAGTTATGACAGCTCTCTTTCTTGCTGTGTCTCAGGAGGCTGGTGTAGAACATTATGATTGATTCATACTGCTGTTGTATTTTTCTTCCAGTAGAAAAAAAAAGGCAGGGGGTGAGCTTCGTAGCCCCTTGAACCTGATTGGCCCATTGTATATTTAGGCCAGTGCAGCTTTCTGCCAAGAAAACAGAAGGCAGCCTTCTAACAGAGCTTTGTTTCTGCAGGAAATAATGTGCTCACCATTGGCAAGGCCATGTTCATCATTACCTTTAGTGTATCTAAAATGTCATTTTGATGTATATTTGTCCCTCTGCCATTCAATGGTAACATGGTCAAAAACACATGAAGAGTTTTAACACAAAAAAATGCCTCGGTAGCCAAATTTGTGTCTAAACAGACTTTTCATGAGCTAAACATCTTTTGCATTGTTTTAGCTTCCAGCTCCTACATAATAACTCTGTGTCTTAAAACCAAACCACAATCTTTCTCATGTCAGAGAATAATGGAGGGCTGGCAGCGAGACTGCACATGAGCTTAGGAACAACATAACTAAAGGGGCCACAGCCTCACTTTAAATCATTTGTACATTGATTTTGTGCTCAGCTCCTGCTTGTTAATCTTTTGGTAATGAAAAACTGCAAATGAAGACTTCATAACAGCCAATAAAACAGGGCCAGCGATCACTAATGCCTTTAACAGGCACATCCTGACGTTTCTCTCACTTATTTAAATTTGTAAGCCCGCTTGCCCATTTGTAATAAAATTTAAACTCTCCATCGGGGGATTCCAGACGATTATATAGTTTCCTCAGGAGTCGGTTCATTTTTTTTTTAGAAACAAATGTAACAGTTAGAATAAGTGGATAACTAGGGATCTAACTAAACCACCCAAGGTGATATGATTATTTGATAAAAAAAGGGAGACCTAAGTGGCTTATCACAGCAAACATACTTGGATTTTTGTTTTCAAAAGAAAATACATTCTTGCCAGAAGCAAATAGATATCATCACACTGCATCTGGTCCTGCAAATTAAAAGCCATAAAATAAAAGGGCTATTTATTCAAATGTGCTGAACACTTCCAACATTACAGTTTCTTTGTCCTTAAACGACCTCGGTAGTTGTCCAAACACAGATAAGAGCATGATGACCCGCTGGGGCTTTTCAAGAGTCAAAGGAGTGCTATGCATACATGGTATACCTGATGGTTACGATGTGAACTGCGCCATCGTCAACTCGAACTGACGTACTCAACCGAGTAACCTCTTCTTCTTCATTACAGCAGAAGGCATACTGAAACAGATGAGCAGGAGTTTAAGCGTCTCTAATTAGTGCTTTGTTGTGATGTTGCTAAAAGAAGTGGCTGAACCTTAGGAGGCAAAACGGTTTCTTAACCAATTAGGATCATTTTTTTGAGGACTGATTTGCAACTCTGAACCACAATTAACGGTAAAAAATCTTTGTTTAAGAAAATCCACTAATTCTAAATAAAATATGCAGAATGATTATTTTTTGCTACAAGTTAAATCTCAAAATGGACAGTTTATGTATAACTGCAAACATTTTAAAACTTTCTACTACAATATAACAGATAAGAGGATGCAGCAATAACTATAAAGGGCTCTACTTGTGTGCTAATCTTTCAATTTTAAAGTATTGATGTGGTTTTTATGAATATCTGACTCGGAGTCAGATATCTGGGACCAAGAGTCCCATCGAACTGATTATAGTTATCTCCAAGCAGTTGGTGCATCTTCTGAGAAAAAAATAATCTTTACCACACAGAGAAGAAATAAATAAACAATTTAACTATAGTTTTTACCTGTAAGATGCCATTCTGGATGAAGAGTTTCATGAAAAAGTGATCTCCGTTAACAGGTCCCTGATCCACGTACAGCAGAGTCCCTTGAGCGGCAGCAGTTTGGAATCTCACCGTAATGTTGTTGAGTTTACTGAGGTCAAAGCCTTCAAACTCAAGGTATGAATTCCCAAAATACCGAAGGTAGCTTGTATTATCTGGAAAAGAGGGGGAGATATAAAGGGGTAAACGACACTTAAAGAATCAGTTTTGCAAATTCTGCCAAGGAAGCCGGCTGATCCCGAGTATTCCTTAGGATTTACTTCGGAGCTGTATAACCTCACAAATTAAAACATCATCAGATTATGGCTAAGAACACCTCAGAACAAACATTCGTGTAATGCATTTTCAAGGTGCAAGTGCTGAATGCTTTGAGAAATAATCTGAAAATTAGAAGTAAAGTCTTCATAAATAAATCTGTTCATTTGAAACTAAAAGTAAACGCTTTAAGACTTTTGGCATCGTCACAAATCTGTTTTTTCCTTCGTTTTGTTCCCACTATTCCTGCCAAAACCCTTTGAAGCATGCAAACGGTACGATATTAGCCAAAGCTGAAGAGTCTTGGTTGAAAAGAACAAATTCATGCATGTTTATTACATGCCTCTTTTAACGGCGGAGTAATGAGTCCGTTCATCTTTATGCCATCCGTGAAGAATGGACAATTATGAGGTATTTCAGTAAAAGTTCCACTGCCTGAAAGCTTATCAGGGTTAGTGACGCAGGCAAACTTAAAAGAGCGACGCCGACTTTGGAGCATTAGGGGTACTCATGCTCAATAGACTTCTCATTTAAAGGAAGTAGTGCAATTTGTAGGAGAAAAGTCAGACGGCAGAGCCTGGTAAACTGAAAGGCATTCCCAGATGTCTCGTGCTCCGTTCTCTTTTTAGAGAAAAAAAATACACTTGAGAAATCTGCAACGTGTCTTTAAAGTCGCTGCTATGATTAACCACGCAGCTGTAAAATGTGAACTTATCAATATTTGTTAGAGGCCAACTTCTAAAAGGCCAGACACCCTTTGATCTGAGAGAAACTCCTCGGGGCATTTGGCAAACAAGCTAACCTAAATACCCGCGCTCTCTCAGGGGAGCAATAGAAGTAAAACCCGGAGGAGAATCCCATGATAACAAAAAAAAAGGCAAATCATCAGGATCAGACCTTCTGTGTTCTGTGAATTAATCAGGATAAATGAATGCAGTAACAATGCTTTGCTGTCTTCGCCTCTCCTCCTGACAATGGGGCTTGCCAGTGCTGATGATGGAAAATTACCCCTCAGAGACGAAGCTATTCATTAATTTTAAAGCCTTGTTTGGTCTGATATAGTCTTTGATGCATTCAGAGGTTGCTGCCAGGAAGCCGTGTCATGCCTCATTAACAGGAAGCTTCGGTCTCTCCTTCAAAGGTCTTCTGTTTTTACCATTACCTCGCAATCTCACACCCAAATTTTATTTATGCACAAGCCTCAAATAACTATTCACACCAAATCTAAATTGTAAATTCTCAACACATATCCATTTCCCCCATTTTTTGCACCATTTCAGTATTTTCTTCCACTCTTAACATTTTGCTGACCCATCTATTTTTTATCACTTTAATCTGTTCAAAAGCTTTTCTAGTTTCCTTATGAAAGGAAAAAAAAAGCCACCTACTGGGGATATTCTTTGATATAAATCTTTCAGATCAGATCTAATTAGGGCCAGTCGTGATACATGACCATAAGAGAGGTGAGAAAACGGACATAAGTCATGTTTAATGCAACACATAGAGGTAGGGCGCCATGTTGCCACGCAGACCGCAGGTGCATGTCGGCGGGGGTTAAAGTGAAACGACATCCCACTAGGGAAAATATATTTAGCAAAATCGGAACATAACAGCAATTAATTGGACTTAAGTCTTTTGATGGTGAAATTTAATTAATATGGCGTTGATGTCCCATTAAAGAGAAAGGGGGAAAAAAAGCCAAGATGTAAGTCCTGCTTTGCCCCTGATTTATCGAGTTAGGTAATGGACTGATGATTGAACTTGTCACAGGACAGAGATAAAATACTGCTGCAGATCGTTCTAGGACCGGTGCAATTTCAGAGCCCAGAGAGAAGGCAAAAGGTCATTCTGTACCTACAAAACTGGCTGAAAAATAACCTCTCACATATCTTTGCTCTGCAGAAATACACAAAGGATCTGATGCTAAATTTATCACAGGCTTCTTCCAAATCGGATGTCTGGTCCTCATTATCCTCATTATAGCTCGTACATTATCTTTGATGTCTGGCTTGAAATTGCAACTGAAGGTACAAACTGTATCTGAAACGACAAATTTAGAGAGTGTCTCATGAGAATTCATCACTTGTCATATTTTGTCAAGATTCTGACAGGATTAAAATAGTTAGACACCATCTTCAACTACTGGCATCTGGGTAGAAAATGGAATGAATTTAAGGAGGGGAAAAAAGATCATCAGGAGCTCCAGAAAATAATTTCATAATTATTAAAATAAAAATTACTAATGGCAAAGCCCTGAGCAGAGGTAGATATTTGAAAATACTGACTTCTTGCTCATCAAGTTGATTTTGAGGAGGTTTGAGGGGGTAATTTCATTTCCAGTGTGCATGGCAGCAAAAGATAACAGCCTCACCTGTGTTCACTCCAAGGAAAGTCAACCAAATCATGGCTTAGCAGGAGTAAGCCACCCTCCACCCGCTATTCCCCTCTCTAGATTCTCATCGAATTTTACATGATGAAGTAAGGATTTAATAATGTGGAGCTCAGCACTGCGCGTACGGCACGGAAAACAGCAGCAGCAGCAAAGTTTCATACCTTTGTGTTTATTCGTGTGTTTCTAGACTGCTCTGAATTTTAAGATGAAGATAAAAAACACATTAAATCAAATTTTGTACTGTCAATGTATACGTCTATTTCTCAATTCATGTTGACACTATGTGTATATATATATATATATATATATATATATATATATATAATTCAGAGGTTATAGAGCAGTCTTGGATTTAAAGGAGTCTATTTCAAGCTGCACCAAGGGCACTGCATGTGTTTAGATGGTGACCTAGTTTGATAAACTCATGAGCTTCTGGGTCCTCTCTCTTTAAAACTTATTTACTTTGATTATGCGCTCATGTGTGGAAAGAAAAAGGATGTTTCACTGTGTCGATGCTTGGGTTTTTATCATTTTTAAAGGCATGTGTTTCTTTAACCCTTTCCAAACCCGTTCACAGATTGAGGACCGGATCAGGTGCAGTCGGGAGGACTCCATTACATTTGGCCAACACTGATTTTCAGTGTCGCCATGAATTGGTTCAAGCTCGTCTGTGTTCAATAGGTCTGTTTTACAGTTCTGTGAACAGTTTCAAAGGTAGACAGACCTCATCTGTCAGAGTAACAATCTGTCCTGCACACAGAATTCCTCCTCTTGCATAGATGACTGAATCCAATACCAATAATGCATTGTGTCTATCATTTGAGTGTTAAAGGATATTGTGCCAAATACTGATCAGACGTATTATTCTCTACACAACACAATTTAGGAGAAAGCCCCAAACTGGATTTAAACAGAGCTTTGCCACAAACGCACACGGCTACTATGACCATCTCTGAATCGGAGCAAATAAATCATAACCTGATATTTTCTAAAGAATCTATAAAAATGACATTTGGAGAGCCAGCCCTGATGGAGTCTGCTAGTCGAAAAAAATGTTTGCTCTAAAGGACATGAAAAGGGAGAAAAGGCTGTAATTTTGTCAGAAACAATCATCTTGAACAAATGTCAGACTAAATTAAATGCATTAAGGGTTTATTAGGTGAAATGGTGAATATTAGTGTCACTTTGTTAAATATTATAGTGGAAGCATGATTAGGAGCTGAAACTAAAAAATCTTCATTAAGGTTCATACCTGTCACTCTCCCTAAGGTTGGGATACTTTCAACTACTTAATATTTTGCGTTTGATATAATGAACATTAATATTCATCTTAGAGGTCTTTCTATAAAGAACGAGATGAAAAGTATGCAGAGCGATAGTAACTGATGCCGAAAATGTAGGTCACTCTTTCAGTACTGAAGCACATCTGAAGCTTGGCGGCATCTTTCAAACGTGCTCTTACAGCGTCTTTAACAACTACGTTAGAAAAGATAAAAATCTGCAATAAAAATGTTCTCACTGTTGGAGGAACAGCAAAGATGCAGGGCTGCGAAAAAGACATTTGCTACTTTCAGATAAGTTCTGCTGTTAGATTTCTTGTCACGTTACACTGTTTCAGATCAGCAAACACCATTCAAACACACAAAAAAACCAATAGATTCAAAACTGCAGGTTTCATTTATCAGGGGGAGAGGCTATCCAAGCCAACCTGTTCTTACAAGAAAAGTAATCGATTTCTAAACCTGATAAATGGTTAGTTGGTTGATAGACCAACTTTATAATATAAACAGCTAAAATTCACATATCCTAAAGGGATGAGGCATGAAGTTTTGTATTTTAAGGTATTTTGACATACTTTATTTCCCAAGGTGCGACAGTCCTGTGGTCTATCTGCTAAAATGACCCTTTACAAGGTTAATGACCCCCACCGCCCCCTGTGGCTAAAATATTGCATTTGCACTTTCAGACTGGTGGGCCGATCTTTTGGGATTAACAAAAAATGAAGCGGGCATACCTGGCGCTGCAGTCTGGTTCCAGCATGTTTCCTGCATGTTTTAGATGATGAACGCAGCCGATTTGTTTAATGTAGTGACGAATCACTATTGTAGACACTAAGCAAGGCTGGGAGATGTTTCAGCTGTTAGAATAAGGTGTTAAAAAAGCAAACACACAGCGAAGAGATAGATTTTGCTTTCGGTTAGACCCCAGAGATTTAGTAACACTAGGGGGTGCTAAAAGCAAGCAAAACTGCCAAGCGTCCCTTTAATAAAGCTCTTTACACTACAATCATTCACACACTGAGGGTGATAAGCTGACCTGGTGTGCCACCAATCCCTACCAACACCACCAGCAGGCAAAGATTGTGAAGAATCTTGCCCAAGGACACAATGACGCAATGACAATGATGCAAACAGAGCCTAGGTTTAAACCGGCAACCCACATATTACAGGGCAAACTCTTGCTCACAACCCAGCACTATGAGATAATAACATAAGTACACCCTTTCATAGAAATTGTATTTCCTGCGGGATATGGCCTCTTGCAGACAAATACGATCCTTGCCAAACTGCTAAAGTATTTCAAGAATATTTGGAGCGATACAGCTGTTTGAGCAGAGTTATGAAACTGATGGTTTGGTCTCAGAAGTGACAAAACATGGTGGATAAATCCGTGCATCAGCTAGGACTGCTCTGGCACTGAAAGTAGGGTCGGATAGTCATAATGTTTAGGATGGTTGATGTGTACTGGTGTATTGTAAGTGATCAAATGAATATTGTGCAACTGTAATAACAAAAAGCACAAAATCCCATCTAAAGTTATAAAATATATGATACAAAAACTAATAATATATTAAGCATTTCTGAGGCAGTCAATTAAATGAATACTTGTTAGGCAAACGAATCCTACTAACAGTAACCTTCTGAGGATGATGACTGGGGGTTAAACATCTTCTTTCCTACTTCCACTGACCCTTTCACATTTATTTCAGACAGTTTAAAGCACAGTCCTTCTATAGCTACTTCCTATAGCTACTTGCTCTTGCAGGAATTCACAGCACAGCTCATACATGAGGATGCTTCACCTGCTGGGGCTGGGGTGAACGTTGGTGTCGGTGCTCGGGGTGTATAGCTGCTAGTGATGTTCTTGCCTACGGTCGCCGAGGGAACTGGATCCATAACAGGAGGCAGGCAGCTGACCTTGTTGACGCCATCTACACACGAAAATGCTTCTGGACATGGATTTGGCAGGCAGTCATCATAATTGTGCTCACAGTTCCTCCCCTGTGAACGTATATTAGATCGCTTTAAGATGTGCTGTGCACCTTTGCATTGAAATGCTAAATGTTTACAGCTGGAGTCAAAAACTCCCTGACAAAAAAAAATAAATACTAATATTAGACAAATGCGTCTGACATTGTACCCTTTGCCAGACATCCCATCCACAGGACATAACTACTCTCAACCACATTACAGCCATGTGACCCAGTTTGTTAAAGAAGTAAAGCTCATTTGATTTTCTTGATTGCAAAGTGGTTTTATTAAATTACAGTGGGGCAAAAAAGTATTTAGTCAGCCACCGATTGTGCAAGTTCTCCCACTTCAAATGATGACAGAGGTCAGTAATTTTCATCATAGGTACACTTCAACTGTGAGAGACAGAATGTGAAAAAAATTCCATGAATTCACATGGCAGGATTTTTAAAGAATTTATTTGTAAATCAGGGTGGAAAATAAGTATTTGGTCACTTCAAACAAGGAAAATCTCTGGCTCTCACAGACCTGTAACGTCTTTTTAAGAAGCTTTTCTGGCCCCCACTCGTTACCTGTGTTGAGGTTCTGCCCTCATGAGAAAATTACTATGCAGTATTTTCTCCAAAGAACTGTGCATTTACGCCCTGAAGCATAAATAAATAAGGCATATTAAAAATCTGCGCCAGCAGGGACTTCATTTCCCATGATCCTCTGCAGCCGGCAGCAGCTTAATGATGTCATCAAGCAACGCCAACCCCAGCCGCTACAGAGACCGCCCGCTGGAGAGTCCATAAAGCTGCTGCGCAGAGCAGAAATCGTTCTCTTTTGTCCAGGATTCAATTGGCGTGAAGAGGCACTCGTTTTGCTACCGCTTCGGACAGCATGTGCACGAGGACTAGCTGCTGAAGTGGACGGAACACCGCCATCTGATTTGCTCAGCGAACTCCAGAGGGACACCTCGTTGTTCGTTCGTTCAAAGTTTTTTTCTCTCTCTTTTCCTCTCGATTCTCTTATAGCCAAAACAAGCGGTCGACCGCGCGACCGTTTCAAATTAACAGACGGTTTCTCTTTCTTCCCTACCAAAAACGCCATCGGACCGTCAAAGTAAGATCCTTTTTGTTATTGTTTAATATCGAAGTTGTTCATGCTGTGGCCAGGCTGACAGACTTTAGATATTTCATTTGCCTTTGATTGATTTGTTTTGTTTCCTTGAGCTTGGTGAAGTGATTTGAAGTGTTTGATGAAGTTACTGTGAGTGTTAAGCCACTGAATGTCTGCTTAGAAAGACAAGCAGCTAAAACACACACACACACACACACACACACACACACACACACACACACACACACACACACACACACACACACACACACACACACACACACACACACACACACACACACACACACTGGTTTTCAGGGTTTAGAAAGACACCCACGCGGTTCTTTGTTCAGCCAAACGAAGGACCCGCCATTTTGGTTTTTCCAAAACTCCCTCAATTTTGGGTAACCAACCTATCACTGCTGCTTACGTCATTTCAACCACCTACCGGATCAGATTATTATTCCACATGTCATCTCATTGTTTCATTGCTTGTTATTCGTTTGATGAAATAAGTTGGTTGATGTTGATTGGCTAAATGCTTTGGGAGGAGCTGAAGTGGTCATATTAGTTAATAAATGTTATTGCCAATTAAGTTTTGTCTCAGGTGATTTGTTTGTGTGGTATAAAATACAACTGCTGCTCGTGAAAAGAATTTTACAAACTTTAGACAGATTGATAGAGGTTTTGGATTCAATTTTCCCCGATAAGAGTGGTGGTGCCCCGAGGCATATCCACGGATATCCTAATTACGTAATAAATCAGTAAATATTTCCATATTTAAAAATTTATTGATTAATTCAAAAAAGTAAGTAAAGCTTACAAATTATTCATTGGCTAATAATCACAACACCTGTATTAATGGCACCTGTTTGAGCTCATTATCTGTATGAAAGACACCTGTCCACAGCCTCAAACATTCAGACTCCAAACTCCACTATGGCCAAGACCAAAGAGCTTTCGAAGGACACCAGGAAAATAATTGTAGACCTGCACCAGACTGGGAAGAGTGAATCTACAATAGGCAAGCAGCTTGGTGTGAAAAAATCAACTGTGGGAACAATTATCAGAAAATGGAAGACATACAAGACCACTGATGATCTCCCTCGACTTGGGGCTCCACGCAAGATCTCATCCCGTGGGGTCAAAATGATCATGAGAACTATGAGCAAGAATCCCAGAACCACACAGGGGGACCTGGTGAATGACCTGCAGAGAGCTGGGACCACAGTAACAAAGGTCACCATCAGTAACACACTACAACGGCAGGGAATCAAATCCTGCAGTGCCAGACGTGCTCTGCTGCTGAAGCCAGTGCATGTCCAGGCCCGTCTGAAGTTTGCCAGAGAGCACATGGATGATACAGCAGAGGATTGGGAGAATGTCATGTGGTCAGATGAAACCAAAGTAGAACTTTTTGGTACAAACTCAACCCATCGTGTTTGGAGGAAGAAGAATACTGAGTTGCATCCCAAGAACACCATACCTACTGTGAAGCATGGGGGTGGGAACATCATGCTTTGGGGCTGTTTTTCTGCTAAGGGGACAGGACGACTGATCCTTGTTAAGGACAGAAGGAATGGGGCCATGTGAGATTCTGAGCCAAAATCTCCTTCCATCAGTGAGAGCTTTGAAGATGAAACGTGGCTGGGTCTTCCAACACAACAATGATCCCAAACACACCGCCCGGGCAACAAAGGAGTGGCTCCGTAAGAAGCATTTGAAAGTCCTGGAGTGGCCTAGCCAGTCTCCAGACCTCAACCCCATAGAAAATCTGTGGAGGGAGTTGAAAGTCCGTGTTGCTCTGCGACAGCCCCAAAACATCACTGCTCTCGAGAAGATCTGCATGGAGGAATGGGCCAAAATACCAGCTACTGTGTGTGCAAACCTGGTAAAGACCTATAGTAATCGTTTGACCTCTGTTATTGCCAACAAAGGTTATGTTACAAAGTATTGAGTTGAATTTTTGTTATTGACCAAATACTTATTTTCCACCCTGATTTACAAATAAATTCTTTAAAAATCCTGCCATGTGGATTCATGGATTTTTTTCACATTCTGTCTCTCACAGTTGAAGTGTACCTATGATGTAAATTACTGACCTCTGTCATCATTTTAAGTGGGAGAACTTGCACAATCGGTGGCTAACTAAATACTTTTTTGCCCCACTGTATGTCACCTTCAAGCTACAAAAAGAAGGGTGATCACAAATTTTCACAAGTCATTAAGGGAGATGATTATTACAAGGAGGTGAAAAGAGGTAGAGGGGGAAGTATGGAGTGGGGGAACCTCACCACAAATCCAGGACGACAGAAACAGGTGTAGCCATAGCCTGGATCATTCTGGATGCATATCCCCTGGTTGCAGGGCTGTGGAAGGCACTCATTAATGTCATCCTCACAGTGAAGGCCTGTCCAACCTGCCAGGAACAAAAGCCCACAGAGTGTCGTAGTGAGCCTGGGCTCTCTCACTTCCACCCTCTGAAGTGAATATCAATCAGACTCTCTTGCATTGATTTGCTTCTTTTGGGGTTCACACACACATACACGGACAAGAAAAGGCTTTCACTAAAGAGTAAGATGCCACATACATTTTAATGAGCGGAGGCAGTATCGTTCTTTAATCATCGTCTTTTTTTTCGTACTGTATGACAACAAATTTCTCCCTGGAGGAAAGTAGGCATCCTTTGAACAACTTTGAGGGACTTAAACTATAAGAAATGATGGTAACCTCTAGTGCCTCCTTTCAGTCTAATATAAATTTCATTCTTCTGTAATAAGATAGTTTAAAGCCACATCTGGGGCAGGAGGAGGCAAGATTTCTTGTTCACTCAAGAAAATGTATTGCCATCTAGGTTAGGTTTTAATATTCATGCCCAGGAGCTGCATAAAGATGCCTGTAAAAGGTCTCACAAAGGGGTACAATAAAATGTTCGGGCTGCTCTTATTTTGAAGGAAATGGAGAAAATCACAGGATTTTTCTGAGTGACTCACCTGACCTGCAGTGGCAGACGTAGCTATTAATAAGATCTTGGCAAACAGCAGCGTTCTGGCAGGGTGCTGAGCAACATTCGTTAACATCCACTTCACAGAAATCCCCCACGAAACCTGGTGGACAGCTATATAAACACACCATTCTTTAGACAACTGGGAGGCTTTCTCACAATGCTGACACTTGCTTTTCTTCTGGGTTTGATAAGATGCATCCAAGAATCACCTTTTTATCTTGTGATCAAAAAATATCGCAATCTTATTTTCTTTGTTACTTGCTTGCTCATTTAAACAATTTTGAATATTTAGGACTAGGGGTGCTCGGATCCGATCACGTGATCGAAATCAGGCCTGATCGTGGGATTTTAAAAGGATCGGGGGAAAAAGATCAGATTTAACCTTTTAAAACACCAAACATGACATTTTAATGTCATCCTTAGATATAGATTTTCAAATGGAATAACAATGACTTAGTTTTAATTTCAATAAATTCCTCTACATTAGGGCTTTTCAACTTCGGGCCTCGAGGGCCGGTATCCAGCACATTTTGGTTTTAACCCTGCTTCAACACACCAGATTGCAATTATTAGGTGATTAACAGGCTTCTGCTGAGCCTGATGAGCTGCTGCACAGGTGATTCAACCACCAAATCAAGTGTGCTGGACCAGAGAAACCACTAAAATGTGCTGGATACCGGCCTTCCAGGCCCGGAGTTGAATAGCCCTGCTCTACATCAATATTCTTCGTTTCTTGTATGAAAATGACAAAAATAACATCATACAATATATGGCAGCCAGGGACTCAGACACCAAGCTGCAGCTGTTAGCAAGCACGCTAACGCAGAGCTAACATGTCTCGACCTGAGTGTTAATGTCTGCCTAATGGTATTTTTACCTGGACAGCAAAGGCAGAGCAAAAGCCACTTGTATAATGTGCACACGGGGTATTCAACATGCTGGGAAGGACACAGCTACTACTTTTAATTTCGGCTTTTTTCCCTTCAGGCATCAACAAAGTGAATCACCTGTCTCCATTAATTCCCAGTTTCCCACCAACAGTCCCAGTTCACAGCGTATTCAAGACAAAAAAGGGAAGCCAGCCGACAGAGAAAGATAGGTTAATACACAAAGAAAAATGGCCAACAGACTCCAAAATGTCGGGTTGTTACCTGCAGCACTCGAGGTGTGCGGTAGCTACAGGTGTTATGCAGGAAAAAGTTATCCTGCCTGCCGAGACGCTGCGTGCCTGCCCCATGAAGGGACTACGCATACTGCTGCATATTTAGGGAGTAAACTACTTGAAATAAGAGCAACGCTGCTACTTTTAAATATATTCCTAATATAAACACATTTTTTAATCAGTGTACTTTGTAAACAAGTGTGTGAAACTTAAAGGATCACTTAGGTGTGTTTTCTTCTCACTTTAATGCGTTCCTGAAAATTATTTCCATTTTTTCTTCTTATTTTAATGCTTTCCTGAAAAGTATCAAATCGGGACTCATTATCGGCAGATACTCAAAAATAAATAGCTGAATCGGATCAGGAGAAAAAAAAAACGAGATCTGAACATCTCCATTTAGGACACATGCAGCAGAAGGCATCTGAGAGTAAAGTGAAAAGTGCAAAACTGTTATTATAAAATAGCAAAAAAGGGAAAAGCACATTTTAAAAATTAATGGTAGGATTTAACCTAATTTTTCTATTCATCTACATTCACAACAAGCCAATTCCAAGTAGTTTCCCCAGTTTGGAGTCTCGCCCTTCTTGCTGCTCCAGGCTGTGGTAAAAACACGTTTTTAGATTTTTTACACAGCTCAGCAAATAATGCGAGGCTCCATTTTCAATGAACCATGCTGCCACGGTGACGAGCCCTGCAATACGGAAATTCCCACAGCTGAAAACTGAAATGAAGCTTATAAGTCACAACCTTGACTTTAAAGACCTTATTCTCTGGAGATGTCATGCAGAGCATAAAATCAAAAATGGAGAGCAATTATTATCCTGTATCTCGACTCTGGGTGAAGGAATCCATGCATCAATTAGACCAATTTGTCTACAGAAGAATAACTCAACATTAAAAAATAAATAATAAATGTTCTAAAGGAGTTGTTTGAAGGACAGGTTAAGCTAGGGCTGGATGAGCGAGACTTTGAGCATACAAGGGTCCCATTCAGTTGTGCAGGAGTCAGTCCCACTGTGGCTCGAAGATTTGTAGAAGAGCTGTTATTTCCAGGTGGACAACGAGTCTGATCATGCATCAAAGCTGCTGCAAATCTGAGGCCACGGAGCCACACATTCTTCAAAGACGATGGTGGATTCTCAATTCACAGCCACAACATCCTCAAGCTCATTGAACACTGCTGAAAACTTCCAACAGAGAAGCAGACGAATGCTTAAAAAAAGGCTGCAGGTGAACAATTCCAATGAAAATAAAATCTTGTTTCAGAATAAGCTGATGAACTCTCGCTGACCTTACCCTGATATTGATACTCATGTTATAAATATGAATAAATGTAACAGTTGATCCGGTTTATTTAATTTACCAGCTTTGATACTGGAAACATAAATATTTCTAGACATGATATCTTGATTAATATATATTACAGATTAGAAAGGGTTTTCCAGTGTGTGAAAAACTCCACTCTTAGGGTTGCGCAGTTAAGAATTGTTAATCCTGGAGCACCGGAGACAGACGTGCAGCGATTTTAGGATGTTAAATGGTTACACAGGATGCGCCGTGCCACTGAGCGCTTCTTGGAAAGTCACGCGAGTCACAACATCACGCGGTACTTGGGAACAGGAAGCGGGAAGTGACTATTGTTTATACGTGATCAGACTTGCTGTCGTGTTTTGTGAGATTAATTAATTAAAAATGGGTTAGTACGAAATTTATTAGAATATTTTAAAGGGACAATAAGGAAGTTTGACAGCCAAAACATGTATAGAAATAATACATTTCTTCTTCATACATTCTCCTGCAATGCCCTGGTCCTGTAGAATGAGCCCTGGCATTTTTAGTGTGATTGCCTGTTTTTCTGTAAAATCACAGAAAAAGAGAGCTGCTCGGGTCGAGCAGGATGCTTCATGCGCGTTCACGCTCAGGCATCGCCCGTAGCATTTGCTCTTAGTAGCTTTAGCAGCAGAGAGTGAGGTAGTGCCAACTCAGCGACTTTGTCGCTGTTCCTAACGCCTAGTGACGAATCTAGCTACATTTCTGAGGACCCTTAACTACTTTCTGTGGAACTTTCTTCTAGATTTTTCCTGCAAATTAGCAACAAAATAGCCATTTTCGCTCCGAACCGTTCTTTGGATTGATGTTGTTTCAGCTGTCATCAAGGATATAAAAGTTACAGATACATAGAATGTCACTGGCACTTTAGCCCACCTAGTAAGGTGTCTGACTCTCATGCAGAAGTCCTGGGTTCGGTTCCAGGTGTGAACATGATTTGTTATTTGGAGTTTATTTTTTACATTAATGTTTTTTTTACAGTAATAAGGCGCCCACATTTTTATTTGAGACTCGCCGAAAGGCATTAAATTTACAGATAAAAAAGATGTGGGTTCAACTTTCATTTTGGAACAATTTTCCAAGCAAGGGAAGGGAATGATCTGAGCATGCAGGAGGACTCACCCATCATAAACCTTTGTCGGCTGTGCTGAAGAGAAAGGTACAGAACCAAATTATCTAATTAATTAGCTGCGTGTTCTCCTGTCCTCTACCCTCTGGGCCACCCCCCCACACACACACACTGCACGTTCGGCCGGCCGACAAGAAAGTGCAGCGGCAGAGACAGAGGCACATTATTTTTAATAATTTGCTGTGTTCTTCTGCCCTCCGGGCCACACACACACACACACACACACACACACAT